GGGGGGGGGGGGGGGGGGGGGGGGGGGGGGGGGGGAATCATGGCTGCATGAATGAGAAAACAATAAAAGGGGAGGATAAGATATTGACGTGTAGCCCCTTACTATCATCCAAAGGAACCTCCAAATTAATAATTTTTACCTTAAACTGATTTCTAGGCTGCCCCTATTTGTTCCTTAAATTTTCTGTACTGTCTTCTCAAGACCAAATCATCATTTGGGGCACTGAGCTGTTTCTTCCCTGCCAGTTTTGGAATTACAAATAAAAGATTTGTAGTATGGCTCAGAAAGCAGATATGATTTCATTCCCAAACCCAATGTGACTTTCTTGTTGCCAAATTGCAATTTCCAAGATTCCTTACAATATCATAGGTCTGCTGGGAGGTCCATTCAAAAACTTCTGAAGGACCATACAATAGCAATATCAGATCCTACTGCTGTATAGAATCATGCTTGATTGGAAAAATGGCAATTAATTTCTAATTTATTAAAGGGAAAAGGGAAATGATAAATTGATTCAGAGTACCCCATTCTCTGGTTCTACTCATTTTCACTAATAGAAAAGTTTTCTACAGTCATCTTGGCTAATGTATGTATATACTTTAGAAGGCACTGCTGACAATCTATTTATTTTCCATTTCAATGCAATGTACATCCGTTTTTTTAAATCTTTCAAGCACTAGATCTTTGTTATGGACAATACATAATCAGAAAAGCACTTTCACATTTCTGTACTTGCAAGGCAATAAACAATATGATTTAGGAAAGCCTTTTCACATGTTGGCTTTGCTGCATCATCATAACAGCCTGCCTTAATGGGTTCTTGTGGGACAAAATCTTTAAGCAAATAGTAGATTGCCTACAAATAAACATTTCTTCACTCTTCAGAATATATGGATGCTTTAACTCACAACCAGTATCTAAAAGGATCTTACCATACTGAATCGTAAACTTTCCATAAAAATATTTCTCACTTTAAACAAGCTATATACATATATATCTAAATGTCAACATTGTTTCGAAATAGAAAGGCAGACATTTCACATTGTGACAAATAATCTGCACTTAGCCCATCCCTCCTCTTTCCAGTGAACTTCACCCAAATGAAGATTGAGTGAAACTATTGCTTTCAAAATCTGTTATATCTGTGTGACTTTCTCCTAGTCTGGTGAATAAGCATTAGGTGGAGAATCTGCTTGCCCTACAGGGGTTTGAGAAGAGGCACCATACAATTCTTCAAAATAGATAAAAGTCTTATTTGATGGAGAAAAAAAGAGCAAGGAAATAGTATCCTTTTCTCTTAACTAAAACATCAATCTTTAAAAAGAAGCACTTCCAAAAGCAACAAGAACAGGTTCAGTCTCCTTCCCTAGCAAATGTTACAGCTTCAAGCTACCCTAGGTAGGGAGCTAACTAGTTTCTAAGCCTTGGTTTCTGCATTGCGTACTTGAACTGATAGATGAATTTTCAATAGTGGCCCAAACGTAAAATGCCTGGGTTTTCCCCCCATGAACTGACCAGAGCTGGTATAATAGCCTTAGAATTTCTCTTAATTTGTAAAACCTTAAGAGATCATCTTCAGCATCATTAACATGTAAGAATTCCACTACAGTTTCCTACAACTGTACTCAATAGCTTAACAGGGACTTACAATAGTATGAGGGTAGATAATTGGGTCAAAGAAGAATCTTGATTTTCTACAAAACTAAATTGTGAGTAGAGTAGAAGGAAAGTTTTAGTTCTGCCATTCCCTGTTTCCTTCCAACCCTTCCCCCCCCCCCATAACCTGGATGGCAACACTCAAAAATATGGCACAAATCATCCTTTAATACAGCCAGCCTGGCTGCATGTGTCCGTAGGGGCTGGGGCCGGTTTCTTTGGTGTACCCAGAATTGTGCAAATAATGTCCCACATCCCAGGCCCCCAATATATCAACAGCCTGGAAGCAAGAACAAGAGCAGGGCCCAAAGCCACCTCAGTTAGTCTCATAGGAGGAGAGCAGAGCAGCATCCACTGGCTCCATGCAAGAAGGACATGTGAATGATCGCATCAGCCAGTCATCAATGCAGTTTACATGGTAGATGTGTAGACAAGGCAGGAATCGGATGGGATCTCCATATACAAAATCCAGCATACAGATTACACACCTAGAGAAGTAAAAAGAGAAACTGAATGCTAATACAAAGGTTGCAAGATGGTTCCCCAGCCATCTAGCTTCTATTTCCTGCCCAATTTGCTGCTTGGTAAATTTCAATACAACTGTAAAAGACTAGTTGCTATATTGTTTTGCTATACACTCAGCTTTAAAGTATAATATCAACTTCCTGCACTGAATTTATGATATTTGAAAATTCCTGTGTTATTTTTTCCAAGTGGAAACTTGCAAGAACTATGCTGCTTTCTTCCATGTATAAGCAACATGTTCTAGACTCATAAAAATTACACACAAAGAATGAAGATTTTTAACATTATTAGGGTTCCTGATTTCTAGTTTACTCTGTTAGCCAGGAGATCAGAATATCACTGGTTTAATCCACTCCCATCCCATTCTCCATATCAGTGTCACAATAACCACAAAGAACCACAAATGTCCTATCCAAAACAGCAATTAACACCGTTGATGCAGGTATCACCCAACTCTGGCTTAAATGTCAGAGCAATATACTCTAGGTTACTAGCTGATGGATTGTTTAACTTGTCTCTCCAGAATTCCTACTCTATAGGAAGCAAATTGGTTATTAATCTTCCATACTAGTAAAGTATGTTTGAGATATATTTTTAGTGCTCTTTCCTGCACACAGCTACTTTTGTTGTGTTGCTGTCCGAGTTTGGTTGTTTACTTCCAAATATTTCACTACCCCACTAGATAAAATCATCAGTGCTAGTGAGTGTAGGGTTTGCCTTATTTATATGCAATAGCTTGCCCAGCCAGTGTTAGTGGGGGTGTGGTTTTCTCCTTGGTAGTTCCTCAATTAGGGTATTATTTTCTGCTTGTTTGTCTGGCGTTACTCTCTGCTTATTTGGGCATTGGTTGCTGGAGAGGACGTGTTCTAGTCTTTTTGTTTCCTTTTTAATGCCTCTTTTGATTGGTGTGTAAAAGTGGTTTATCTCTACGTGTCTACTGATGGATGAATACCAAGGTTCCAGAAATTTATCAGAATACCAAGCTTCCTTAGAGTTTTTGATCTACAATGCTCAGTTTCTCAATTGAAGCTATGGTTGAGTTTGGTAATGTGTTGTGAGATTAAGGAATTTTCATTGTGTCTTCTGACTACTCTAGTTGGTGATCACAGATGTGCTCTGCAAGTCTTTTGCCTGTCTGTCCTACCTACCATCATACACCCCGCCAACATTGGCAGGGCTGCTACTATATATGAACAGGAGTAAACCCCAGTCTCACTAGCACTGATGTTACCTAGTCAAGTAATGAAATGTCCGCAAGAGAGCTGAGAGATCACCAAGGATTCAACAGTTCAACACTGAGGTACATATTTTTTTTTTCTATTGATGTTTTGTGTTGGTTAGTCCTCTAGGAGTGGAAAGAACTGGGGCAGAAAAACAGGTACAGTTTTTTATGCCTCTTGAAATTTGGAACTGACTTTAGGCATGAAACAGGAACCCAGTTTTAGCACACTTTGAATTAATAGAGTATACGCAGAATCTCTCTCGGCCCCCTTTGTATGAATTTCTATACTTCTATGATTTGTGTTGTTACTACAACTATTTTACACCACCTATTTTAAAAGCATACCAAATCAGTTGACAGATTTAGTTGTAACTGGGTTCCCATTAAATTTCTTGATGCAAAATTGTAGCCAGTCTGTGACTAGGTAATCAACTTCAAATGCTAGTGTGTTTTCAAGAGATGTCATATGCAATCATTACTAATCCCCTTTTGGATGGAGAACTGCATCTCCTGGGCCAGAATGGAATAAAAATTACCCAATACCTTGTGTATATTCACCTTGAATATCACTCTGGATAGTTTTCGGTCAATATCAATCAAACATAGATAGCCTTTCTGATCATGAAGCCAGTAGGACACTGATCCCCTGCTCCATTTTCTGAAAATTGGGAAGAACATTTCACTTGTGTGTTGTTCACTATTATGAACAGGTCACCTAAGGGGGATCTTCATGTAAACTGTAGTAAAATATCTCAGTATAGGATCCACTCCCCTTAATTCAAGCGCTGATGAATTGGTTATACTGTTCAGTAATCTCGGCTGATATGGAGCATAGATATATATTTGTTGACATCATTACAGTAGCTGTACATCTTCCTCTGAAACCCCGTGATTTCTATCCATCCTACCTGATTATATAGGCTTTGGTCATAACATTGTCCATATGACACCAATTTGTCTAGTGTGAAAATGCCTTCAGAGGCATTCCTATAATCTTATTCCATTTGTTAGTGGACAATACTAAACTATGATGGGACCATAATTTCTGCATTAACCTATTTGGGAATTAGGCTCCCCACCTCATTAGGATAGCTTCTGTTGATGATTTGATCAGAAAGCCAAATGGCTTTCCCTCTGTCAATTTATGATTAGCCATCAATGCAATGATTGGGTTACTTTGCTTGGCATTGTCTTGTGCAGATGGGACTTGGTCTAGGCTGGAAGGAACTACTGGAATGATCTGGAATGGAATTGGGCCTTTGGTACTGAATCAAGAGTTTATTATCCTTGTAATCTTGCCAGCAACCTGAGGGCTGCAGTTCTATAAGTTAGCCCTTACACTTTTCAAACCTTGAGGGTGTTCTCCTGAGACAAGTATTTTCTCTCCCTCCTGTTGATTGTGATCTGCTTTAATATGAATGAGCTCTTAGTGAAATTCACCATGAAATCATGCTCATGGAGGTATCAAAGCATCAATATCAGGCTGTTAATTGGTTTCTCTACAGAAGGTACTCTGATAAAGAATTAATTCTAAGATAAAAGGAGGGTCCATCATTGCCATCTCTCTAGTAAATACTCTGGATACTAAGGCCAGTCCTAAGAATAGTGCTTTGAACTTGAATTTGTTCTTCCCGTATACAGTCTGCGGCATTTCCAATGGGATAGCCTGACTGGAAAGTATAAGTAATGCTACAACAGGTCCTTGTATGTTAGGAAATCTTCTAACATACGATAACAAACAATTAGGGCTGGCAACTCAGGCATTAAATGAGTGAAACCACAACTATGCTTATGACATTGCTTCAGCTTTCCTTTGTTTTACAGACCCACAAAGGTTGTAAATGTGAGGATTGATCATTACTTTTTCATCATGGTGTAACCATGAATGAGGCAGTCACTAAGTGAGGACTACTTTCTTTGCCTATGCTATGGGCATCATCTTCAGCAACTAAGAACAAAACATCTTGCTTTATAGATAATCTTCACTGAATAGCCACTCATTTAATGAGTGTTCAAAATTATGACTTTGCTGAACAAGGGGGACTTTCAATGGAGCCTCATAATTGCAGACATTGCAGTGTCCCCCTGGTCATGTGATCATAATTCAAGCAAAGTCAATGGGGAAGTTGGCAGGAGATCACAAATGATGTTCCCATGACCACGGGATGCTGTGACTATGCAGGATTTGCTTGACAGTGGCAGCTGGGATTGGCGCAACTGTTGTTAAGTCACATGAAGTCATGCCTTATGACGTCACTTGGCAATGTCCAATCCCAGTCCCTATTGCCATAGTTAATATATTCTACCTTTAAAAAAACATACCTTACTATATATTCATATCTAAGAAATCAAAGCTAACGTATGTATAAAAGTAGTAATGACTTTTTTCCCACTTCAAATATACCATCATCAAATTTTCCTTCAGATTCTCAGTAATACTGAAATTCTGAAACAAATACTGTTCTGCAAAAAAGCACAGTTCGAATTTCTGGATCATTTTGACTGTCCACGATGAGAATTATACTCCAACAAATTTAACAGAGAAAGTTCAGAAACATGCAGCTCATTACAGGTAGTACCTTACCTTGTTTAGTCACCATTCAAAATTATAATGATGTAAAAAACAGCTTTTTGATCAATCCTTGTATTTATGACTGTCACAATGTCCCATGCTGACATTATCACCATTGGGACACTTTCTAATCGGCATGCATTATTGACCATTACAATGTACAGCGATCACATGATCAGCATTCACTTGCTTCACAACTGGCTTCTCACAAGTAGAGTTAATGGAGAATACGGAGGTAAAGTTCAAGTTGTGGTCATGTGATGTCTTGCTTAAGACTGGGTTGATTTGCTTGATGACCAAATGAAAAGTAATGTAAGCCCATCATAGTCACATGATTTTACCCTTAGTGACTACAAGCTAACTTATGGAGTTGCCACTCCCAATGGTGGTCACTAATTGAGAATTACCTGTAATTAATAGTTTATTAAGAGTTTAGCATAAGACCTCTAATAAAGCACTGCTGTGTTGATGACCTTGGGAATAGATTCA